CGACGGCGGCAACAACGGCGACGGAGACGCCGAGGCCAACGTCCAAGTAAGTTGTTTTTCTTTTTAATTTGTTTTTCCTTTTAAGTTTAGGTTTTTTCTAATAATATTTCATTTTGTTTTTCAATCAAGGGTGAACAGTTGAGGTTGAAAACTCCGAGAGTAATGCTTTATTTGTTTTTTATTTTGTTCAATTGCCGTCATGGTGGGGATCTGGATAGGAAACAGAACCCATGTTCTGACCGTTGTACTCGCAAATGGGGTTGTGTTCGTTCTCTCGGTTGCATTGGTGGTTGCACTGGAGTTTCTTAACATCTCCAAGGCCGTCATGACCGCCCTAACTCTTGTGTTGGGGGAGCAATTATTGCTCTCGGTCTAATCATCACCTATGTTGAGGCACTGCTTTGCAAGGGTAATGCTCCCCCTTCCGCTCCCGCCCCCTCCCACGCTCCCATTTTCCCACCCCGCCCATATAGTGGGTAAATGAGTAACATAAGCCACTAATTTACAGCCTCATCATGGGCTTAGTTATTGTTAGGGTTGAGAGTTAAAAGAGTGCCACTAATTTATAGCCTCATCATGGGCTTAGTTATTATCAGGGTTTAGAGTTAATAGAGTGATTCATTGTGTTCCTCTTTTTTTAAGAGAGTTTTTGTAGTTTTTTCCTTTCTTTTCTTAGAGAATATTTTGTTATTGTTTTTTCTTCTTTCTCTATTAATGCAATGCTTTTTAGATATATATATTAATGCTTAGCTCTTATCTGAGAGTGGTCAATGAAATTCCAAGAGGCTCATCCTTCATTAATAATGATTTAAAATAGATTTAAAATAGAACTATGGATTTTGAGAGTGGTCAATGAAATTCCAAGAGGCTAGTCCTTGGTTAATACAAATGCAATTGATTTGCTAACCCGCTTTTGAATTTGTAAAAAAGAAAAAAAAATGTGGTCTGCTAAATTACCAAATCATCTTGGTTAATACAGATGCAAATCATTTGCGTAGAAATCATTCACTCCAAAATCTAGCTTACTCCACCTTCTCCAATAGCACCGCAAGGCAACTAAGTGTGGTACGTATCGATCAAGTCCAAGCTGTGCTTGAACTTGCCAAAATGATTTGGTAATTTAGCAAACCAGATTTTTTTTTACAAATTCAAAAGCGGGTTAGCAAATCAGTTGCATCTGTATTAATCAAGAATGAGCCTCTTGGAATTTCATTGACCACTCTCAAAATCCATATTTCTATTTTAAATCTATTTCAAATCATTATTAATGAATGATGAGCCTCTTGGAATTTCATTGACCACTCTCAGATCAGAGCTAAGCATTAATATATATATCTAAAAAGCATTGCATTAATAGAGAAAGAAGAAAAAACAATAACAAAATATTCTCTAAGAAAAGAAAGGAAAAAACTACAAAAACTCTCTTAAAAAAAGAGGAACACAATGAATCACTCTATTAACTCTAAACCCTGATAATAACTAAGCCCATGATGAGACTGTAAATTAGTAGCACTCTTTTAACTCTCAACCCTAACAATAACTAAGCCCATGATGAGGCTGTAAATTAGTGGCTTATGTTACTCATTTACCCACTATATGGGTGGGGTGCGAAAATGGGAGCGTGGGAGGGGGCGAGAGCGGAAGGGGGAGCATTACCCTTGCAAAGCAGTGCCTCGACATAGGTGACGATTAGGCCGAGAGCAATAATTGCTCCCCCCAACACAAGAGTTAGGGCGGTCATGACGGCCTTGGAGATGATAAGAAACTCCAGTGCAACCACCAATGCAACCGAAAGAACGAACACAACCCCATTTGCGAGTACAACGGTCAGAGCAGAGAGTTCTGGTTCCTGTCCAGACCCCACCATGGCAGCAGTTGAACAAACAAAAAATGAAACATTACTCTCGGAGTTTTCAACCTCAATGGTTCACCCTTGATTGAAAAACAGAATGAAATATTATTAGAAAAACCTAAACTTAAAAGGAAAAGAATTTTTAAAAAGAAAACAACTTACTTGGACGTTGCCCCTAGCGTCTCCGTCGCCGCCGCCGTTGTCGCTGCCGTTTAACCCGGGGTTGGGCTTTCCTAACGCAGCAACAAGGTTTTGCCTATTTCCCCAGAGGAACTGTTGAAAAATACCCTTATCCTCGTGGTTCTCCTCACTACCAGGGCGATTGTCACCGTCAGCTGACTTCCTAGGTCTCCACTATCCCTTCACAATATCAAGCAAAAACATTAACGTTATATATATAAACAAAAAAGTTAAACTTAAAGAGAGAAGAAAATCATCTCGACGTCATTCTCGTCCTGCACATCTGATTTGCCGCGATGGGACGACTCGGATTGGTCGTTTTCACCATCCTTCAGAGCATGATTCTTAATTCCGAAGCAGGAGAAGGCGTGGCGCTTGTTTGCTTTTGCGGGCTTGGGATTTGAGGGGTTTTCTCGTGTGGGCTCAGGATTTGAGGGGCTCGAGAGGATGCAAGCTGAGGCTACGAGATTAGCAGGGTAATAATCATCGCTGTCGCTCATATCTTCTTTTGGATTTCAAGAGAGCTCTAGGGCTGAGGTAGGCTTCATCACCGAGAGGACTTGGTTGTGCCATTTTATAATAGTAGGCAAGGTTTTAAATATCGGTTATCGGGGATTTATCGGACGGTCAATCCTTATCGGATAGCGAAAATCGGGGATATATCGGGGATAAGTAGTATTTATCAGAGTGATATACTGGATGATGTGTATATATAATATAACAATTAAAAAATGTAATCTAATCATGCTTAATGAAATATAAACATACCAAAATGTAAATCATCATGTTTAGAATCACTAACAAATTGTAGAAAGCGAAACTTGCATCATAGCCTTGAAAAAATATAATGTTAGTCAAAATGGGCCGATAATCCCAATAAAAAAGTCTTACTTATCGGCCGATAAGTGCCGATAACGCCGATAAATCGCCGATAAACAAATCACCGAAACCTACAAAAACGATAACCGATTAAAAATTCAATTTATCCTAGCGGAGAGCTCCCAAATCCGATAACTCGGCCGATAATATCGATTATCGGCCGATATTTAAAACAGTGATAGTAGGCGACGCCTACCTGTTGACGACACAGCCTCGTCAAAGGCTGCTCGCCGAGCCCAGAGCCATAGTCTGTCGCTGAGGCACAGAGCGTCAGTCTGTTGTCGACATAGCTGGTCAGATTATTGTAGCAGGTGCATATAAAGACAAACCTTCTTTATTAGGCAATTTAGTTACGCTCATCTTGCATCTTGTTTTCTTAATATTTATTTGTAACGGCGTCGGCTTAATTTAACTGCTAAATATATGTTGAATTTTTTATTGTCGATTAATATGATAATTAATTTAGAATATTAAAATATTTATCAATTATAAGGAGACATAATTTTAGTACGATCTTAACTGTGTTTATTTTACCCATGTATATGAATTAATTAGTTTTTTATATTATATAATTTTTGATAAATTATATTAATATTCATACAATATTATCCAAACCATTTAAAAGATTGCCGAACTTCAAATTTACAAGCCCAGATTCGTTTCTGTAAGTAACTTTTAGTAAAATCCAAAAATTAAAATCTATCTATATAAGAACGTAATTAATCTGATAGGTTAAATGACAAACCTTAAATGAAATAATGATATGTAACCAAAATATGCCTTATCATAAGATACTTAAGATTATCATAAATAAATTCCAACTAATGCATTAGGCGTCTAAAAAAGAGGACACAACCTCTTTGCACCAAATACCACCATAATATAAATTACTACTTCAGGGAAAATATGTTCCTATATCTTAAAACATCCTAAAAAATTAAATACTAAAAACTAGATAACTTAGTCTCTCTTTTGTGCGTATAATTGTACATCCAAACAACGCAAACTCATTTCACCTCAAAATGCAAATTACTTTTACCAGAAACATCTTTCTATGAAAAAAATGAAGAAGTTGTAGCATAGGAACCTCCTTGGAGGCCCAACTCCACAATAAACTAAGACATCAAAACTTACGTTACATAGTAGATGTCAAAAAAACCCCTCATACCCATCATTATAGAGAACCTGGTCCAGAACTAACGACCAAAATAGTTTGAACATAACTAAGAACTTCAACCTTGCAAATTACCTCCTCAATTACCCTAAAAGACTGCTAAAACACAACTCTTTACCATTTCCAATTCTTCCGAAGAGAACCCAAGCAATTAAAGCCAGAGATTCTTATCATAAAGCATGTGGTCTATGGAGCAATATCTACATGCTTGATACTGAAACAAAAAATTTAATTTCTCTTTAAGAAGCTTAACAACATCAGTTTGTCAGTTCTTCACTTGATCATTGAGGGAAAACAGCCAAAAAGCTTAAATATCAATTCTTCCTATGCACTATTTTTATTAGTTAGGGGTGTTTCCAAAGCTCTCCAACGAAGTTCAATTAATATCCAAAGCTATAATATTTTAATAAAGAATTGTGCTTTTTATGGGGTTGATTAGTTATATCCAAATTCAATCAAACCACATAAAACGACATTTTTTTTTGTGAAAATATGGTACATATGTAACAGTTGTTCAAACCGCATAAAACAACAAATTTCTTTGTGAAAATATGGTACATATGTAACAACTTTAAAACTGGTTCTAATCTTCCTCAAGCGTCCATTTTTTCATTCATTTTTGCAGAGCTATAGTTTTAGAATTGGCTATTAGCTCATTAGTAATAAGTTTGTTTTAGTATGCATTTAACAATCAAGACGCTGCATATTTTCCAACTACACTAACAAATTTTCTGAAGTAATTGCCTCCCCAAGAACTTCACAACTATAGAATTACTGTATTACCCTTTCCCTCTGACGCCCACCAAAACCTCCCATTCTTCATCTCCTCCAACCGCATCATTGGCGATGGATTCGTACGAGCACCTCCAGATCTCCCTCAACCTCATTGGATCTCTCTCCCGTTGCGTCAAGATCCCCCTCATCCCCCCTCCACCTCCGCCCGTCCACACATTCGGCGCCGCCCTCTTCCAGGGACAACCCCGCCTCAACACCAGCCTACAAACCCCTCCCTCTGCCTGCCTCTACTCTCAACCCTAACCCTAGCTTAAGCTCCCCGTCGTCCTCTACTTCCATGGCGGCAGCTTCGTCCTCTTCTCGCCGCCTCCGGCCTCGGTCCCCCTCTCCTCCGCCCGCTGCTCCGCCCACATCCCCGCCCTCGTCGCCTCCGTCGCCTACTGCTTCAACCCCCCAAGCATCGCCTCCCGTGCGCCTACGACGAATGCCGTCAACGCCTCCTTCTTCCTCTGCGACCAGGCCTTTCAGCCCCACCGCCCTTAGCTTGGAGCTTACGCGGACTTCTCGAACGTCTGCCAATCAAATGTCTCTAGCGCCGGCGGCAACATCGCCTTCTACCTTGGCCTCCGCTCGATGGGCCTAAACCTAGCCCCGTTGAAGATCTACGGGCTGATCATGAACCATCCCTATTTCGGCGGGGAGGCGAGGGCCGAGTCAGAAACGAGATCCGGGGAGGACAAGATCCTGCCTTTAGCTGTGAACGACCCGATGTGGGAGCTGGCTTTGCTGGTGGGGGCTGATTGGGATCATGAATACTGCGATCCGATGAGGGTTTCAATGGAGAGGGCAGAGGCCTGCGAGCGTACCTAATGAGGGCGGTTCGGTGGGGACCCGCTGATCGATCGACAAGCTGGGTAGAATACTGTAGCAGGTGCATATAAAGACAAACCTTCTTTATTAGGCAAAAGCTTGTTTGCTTTTGCGGACTCGGGATTTGAGGGATTTTTTGGTGGGGGCTCAGGATTTGAGGTGCTCGAGAGGATGCTAGTTGATACTTTTGCAGGCTCAGGATTTGAGGGGCTCGAGAGGATGCTAGCTGATGCTTTTGCGGGCTCGAGATTTGAGGGATTTTTTGGTGGGGGCTCAGGATTTGAGGGGCTCGAGAGGATGCTAGCTGAGGCTACGAGATCAGCAGGGTAAGATTCACTGTTGTCGCTCATATCTTCTTTTGGATTTCAAGAGAGCTCTTGGACTGAGGTATACGGTTGAGGTATGCTTCAGTACTGAGAGGATTTGGTTGTGCCATTTTATAATAGTAGCCGACGCCTACTTGTCGACGACAGCCACGGTCAAAAGCTGCTCATCGAGTCCAGAGCCACAGTCTGTCGTCGAGGCATTGCGATAGTCTGTTGTCGATAGAGTTAGGCAGATTACTTTAGCGGGTGCAATTAAAGCCAGAGATTCTTATCATAAAGCATGTGGTCTATGGAGCAATATCTACATGCTTGATACTGAAACTAATTAATTCATATACATGGGTAAAATAAACACAGAAAGATCGTACTAAAATTATGCCTCCTTATAATTAATAAATATTTTAATATTCTAAATTAATTATCATATTAGATGACAATAAAAAAATTTCTCCTTATAATTAATAAATATTTTAATATTCTAAATTAATTATCATATTAGATGACAATAAAAAAATTTAACATATATTTAGCAGTTAAATTAAACTGACATCGTTACAAATAAATATTATGAAAACAAGATGTAAAATGAGCATAACTAAATTGCCTAATAAACAAGGTTTGTCTTTATATGCACTTGCTACAGTAATCTGCCCATCTCTTGTCGACAACAGATTGTCGCTCTATGCCTCGGCGACAAACGGTGGCTGTGGGCTCGGCGAGCAACCTTTGACGGACCTCAGTCTAAGAGCTCTCTTGAAATCCAAAAGAAGATATGAGCGACAGCGGTGAATCTTACCCTGCTGATCTCGTAGCCTCAGCTAGCATCCTCTCGAGCCCCTCAAATCCTGAGCCCACACGAGAAAACCCCTCAAATCCCGAGCCCGCAAAAGTAAATAAGCGCCACACCTTCTCCTACTTCGGATTTAAGGATCATGCTCTGAAGGACGGTGACAACGACCAGCCCGAGCCATCCCATCGCGGCAAATCAGATGTACAGGACGAGAATGGCGTCGAGATGGTTTTCTCTTTCTTTTAAAATGTCACATTCACCTCTTCAACAACTCCTTTACTAATCCTTTCTTCGCCAACGAATTCCTGTTTAAAAAAGAATAATGCATGAGACATGTAATAAAGAGACTTTAAAAACTATGAGGTAAAGTAATACTTACCTAATCCCATGGACACTTCTAACTTCTGAACATGAGAAAATGACCGCTTCAGAGCCCTGTTCCAGAAATTTAAACAACATTCGGCAACTTTCAGTCTTAACATCTAATAGGATTTGAAAGGAGATGGATTGGCTCCTTATTTGTTGATGATGACCAGTAAGGCCCATGAAGAACAGATGAAATTATTTTGGGATTTGTTTGCAAGCAGCTTGAAACCTATAAGAAAGGAAATTTAGTTGTCAAATAATGACGCGGTATGCATTTAATCAATTTGAAAAGCTCTAAATGAATGACAGGAGCTTTTTAACAAGCACAGGCATAGGCGGAGCTTCTTTTGTGGGGAAAAAACTGTCATCGGATAGTAAATAATGGGTGGTTAAGGTCAATACCCCTATACACATATAACCTAAGGTTCAATAGAGTACTATCTCAAGATTTTGTTAGTCAAAATGAAAAACAAAATAAACCAAAAGCACAAACATAGGCGGAGCTTCTTTTATGGGGGAAAAAACTGTCATCCGCTAGCAAACAATGGGTGGTTAAGGAAAAAACTGTCATCCGCTAGCAAACAATGGGTGGTTAAGGAAAAAACTGTCATCCGCTAGCAAACAATGGGTGGTTTATATATATATATATATATATATATATAAGCAAGGGTGGTTTGCTTCTTTGTTTAGGTGCATACAAATTAAATTTCAACAAGTACTAATAATATTAATAACCTCCACACCTAAATCAACTTTTATTAGTATTATTCTATCTCCAACTCTTCTTACCTCTACAACACTTTTGTTTATTATATTATCTACAAGAACCCCCACTCCATTCCTATTCTTCTCTTTTCCCATGTACCAAAGTTTATATCTGGTCTTTTCAATTTCTCTAGATATCTCACCTATCCGTTTAGTTTTTTGTAAACAAATTATATTTATCTTTCTTCTAATCATGACATCCATTAATTCCATCGTCTTTCTGGTAAGTGTACCTATGTTTCAAGTAGCTAATCGAATTCTATTTTCTTATAAAAGCCTCCTACCATTTTCCCTTTTTAGACCGTTCTAGTCTATGCCTAATACTATTAGGTAACTTATTAGAAGATTATATATTCTTAGAACACCATTGCTTACTTGTCAATACACCGGGGTGACATTGATATAATGCGTCGCTTCCGGGGGACACCATAGCAAACCACCTTTGCTTACTTATCATTGCATCGGAGTGGAACCTATGCAACGCATCGCGGTGGGGACGCCTCAACAAGTATATAATATAATTTATTTTTCATGTAGATCCGACTAGGTTTTATGCTGGCTGTCGCGTACCTAACACAACCCTCCTTTATCCTGGCTTAGGAGAGGTAGTGCTGAAAAACAACACTACCTGTCGCAAAATTCTCTTGGTGTAAACCTATGGTCTTGTGGGTATACATTAAAAGATAGGATAAGTAATAAGTGCATCCGTAGTAAATTAGAGGTTGCGCCTATTGAGGATAAAATGAGAGAATAGATTAAGATGGTTTGATCATGTACAACAGAGACCTCTTAGTGCACTGATTAGGAAAAACGATAATATTAGAGTTAATGGAGTTAGGAGATCTAGAGATAGACCTAGAATGACTTGGTTAGAAGCAATTAAGAAGAATATGATTAAGACTAACTTAACGGAGGAGATGATTCATAACAGAATGGAATGGAAAAATAAGATTCATATAGCCAACCCCAAACATTTGGGATAAAGGCTTGGTTATTGTTGTTGTTATTGTAAAGCTAAAATTGATGATCTGGCAACATGATAAAAACAAAACTACGTCATTTACACTAAACATCAATAAATTATGAAAAAGGTAACATGCAGTGTCCACCAACAAATCACGTCATATAAGTAAACATCAAATATAATGTATCACTAATCTCTTCCCCATCCCTGTTAGAGATGAAATTATTTGGTCCTTGACCTGCTCGGGTAGCTTCAGTGTGAATTCCTTTTTCACCTTCATCTCAGATGGAGGTACCCGCAACCCTTATCATTCTATTGTTTGGCACAACCTTCTCCCTAGCAGGGTTAAATCCTTCACGTGGATTCTCTCTATGGCCAAACTTAATACCAAGGACAGGCTCATTGCTAAAGGGTGGTCCGGTAACCCATCCTGCTCATTCTGTTCCAGCGACACAGAATCCCACAACCACCTCTTCATTCTCTGTCAGATGGCTACAGATCTGGGATTCTGTTCCAGCGACACAGAATCCCACAACCACCTCTTCATTCTCTGTCAGATGGCTACAGATCTGGGACATTTTTCTCCCCATCAACGGTATACACGCTCCCCTTATATCCATTCACCATTGCTTCGATATGTGTCTTAACAAAGACATTGCACCTACCGTGAGGCTTCTGTGGAGAGTTGTATTCCCTACCATCTGCTGGGTTATATGGACTGCTCATAATAATCTCATATTCAATTGAACCATGCTTAATCATCATCATATGACATCCAATATAGCTTACTACCTCACTTTCTGGACAGGTTCGACGACCTCAAAACGAGCTCTTAAGCTCAAGGCTATTGTTCGGGAAAGGGGGATTTCTGACCTGATCGCCACAAGAGAAGATAGCAACAGAGGAGCAGGCAACAATTAGGTTTATCATCAGCTTTGGAGATTGACAGTTTTTTGGGTTTTTGTGCACACAGTGTCCCCTAACAGACTATCTTCTAGTTTTTGGTGTGCTATACTTAACGTTGTGGTGGGTGGTAAGCTATAAGCATTTTTGTATATTCTTTTGTATATCTATGGGTGATTTTACTTTGCTCCTCTATTGAGTAGAGTGACGACATAGGTCCACTCCTTTACCCAATTTGGATCTATTGTTAAATCACAACTAGATGTAATATATGTAAATACTTTTAGCTTCTTATTTATACAATGATAGGGCATCTTGTCCTATTTTACTTCAAAAAAAAAGTATCACTAATCATAACCGGACAAACAATTAAAATCACAAAATTTCACTACACAAAGAAACAAATTACCATGATTTCTAGCTTCTGAACTTTCATAGCATCACACACTTAAAACTCAAAATTCTCTCTTAGCATTTATTTCACCATCAGAAATGGTTAACTATAAATAGCAAATTTCCTAAAAGAAATTATCATAACATATTCTTTAAAGTGCCTTATGGACGAGATTTGATCCGAGTTGGGTTGTTTTGGCTTTAACCACTCTTTTCTTTTGGTCATTGGACATAATAGCTTGCTCCTGTAATTCACTTATCACAATTAGAGATGGTGGCTTTTTTCACAAGGGAAAATCCACCTGCCTTATGGCATTGTTTATTTTAATTTTCCTTTTGACTAATAAAACCTTGAGCAGTAGACCTTCTGCTTTTTTTCTTTTCTTAAAGCTGTAGACAGGTAGCAGCCTAATTGTTGTTATCGAACGCTAAGCACTGGTTCTGTCAGTTTGTAGAATAACAAAAACTTTCAAACATAACTTTGAAATTGCCATTTTCTCTTAAAGAAGCATTTACTAAGGTATTCTCTTTGTTTGTTCGGTTTTTTGAGGTGTTTTGAGTTTTGAGGCAATTAATAATGTCTTTTGAAGCAGTCTTCATTGCTTTCAACATTTAGTAGTGGGCTCATTAAGTGATCAACAGGAAAAGAAATCGAGTTATTAGCTAGAAATTAGACAGTAAGCCTTTTCTTATGGCACAAACAACTTATTAATTAGAATTTTCTCTTCTGGCTTTATCAACAAAAGTGTTGTAAGAGAAAAGAAATACTTTCAGATCTAACTATTTAATTTAGAACAAAGATTTATATGTAAAAGGTAAAAAATAAGACGATTAATTTCTTAGTTACATGAATGAATGGAATCAATTTACTTATCTGTCAATATCATGAGGTCTAAAAAAACTATAGCAATTATTACACATGGGAAAACATGTTTCAGTTAGCAAGAAAATTTGTCATGCCATCAGAAATTTGTTATTTTGAATCCTCATTGGTGGTCTCCCTTATTATCATTTTAAAAATTGAATTGTTTGCATGCTTATTAGTTACTTTAATCTGTAATTCTTTTTTTTCAATTATATTTGTTTGATATTATACAAGTACTCGTGGAAGTATGCATGAAATGGCCGCTGAATAATGAATTTAAAATTTTGATTCATCACCTTAAACTATCTATTTGTAAGTGTATATTGGTACACGGATGCTCATTCTTCGCACTAAATATCAGCATGAATATTTTCAATCTGATGCTGTAAGCATATTTGGAGCAATCACTTTTGTGAATGGTGAGAGCTGTTTCTAAACTATTGAAAGTAATCTTTAACAGTTTGATCATTTTTGTCATGATAACTTCATGAATTGAAAGGAAAAAAGTCTCCCATGTTTAGTAGTGTCCTTCTGTAACAGATGAGGATTAATTAACTAATACAGTAATACCTGTCATATCTGAACCTGAAATTTTATATCTGAAAGTGAACGGACTTGTTTGCTTTGCTCGTTGTGTATGCATGCATTCATCATATGCTGATGTTTTATTATAGTTATCAAGAGAATACATTCTCCTTTTCCATCTATTGAAAGATGCCTAGATTAGAGCCTCATTGTATCTTAACACGAACTACACGCTGATATCATTACCAACAACATGCAACCAGAAACACACATTACTTGCTTATTTTAACCCAACACAGGAAAACACATACAGAGAATCAACATTTTCCAACAGTCCTGGTTATTTGTTCATTGGGGTGACTCCTGTCATTCATCTATTTATTCTCGACGAAGTGGATGAAAGGGATAGAGTCCAAGTTGGGTTGTTCTTGATTTGTATCACATGTTAGCACAAATCTCAATACAAAATCAATGGATAAAAAATTTGGTGGACAAAGAGTCCCTATCCACTTAAGTTTATAGGAGCTTTGCGCGCTCTCTCTCTCTACACACACATATGTATATATATATAATAATAATGGGAGGATTCAAGATTCACTATTCACGTTACAGTAAAGTACTGTAGCATTGTTACTGTATTACTAACAGGAGGATCCAAGATAAGCTATTCATGTTACAATAAATACTGTAGCATTTTATTGTAGCACATGAGGGACTGTAACGTTTAAAAACATTATTAGTTGATTTTATGTCAACTTTGGTGGACAAAACTTAAGTGGACACCAAACCTTTGTCCACCAAAGTTTCTATCTACTCATTTATATATCTATATATAAAAAGACTTTTCATATCATGCAATAATCCCTAGGCAACATAAGTGGATAGAAATTTTGGTGGATCATCCACTTAAGTTGACATAAGAATTGCTCTATATATATGTTGATGCTTGGATCACACAGAATAATCCA